CAGAGATCCACATTCTCAATCGCGCGCAGTCGCAGGAGATTTCCAACCACGAAACGCGCATCGTCAAGGTTTCCGCTCCAAACCGTCACACGGAATGTAAATCGTTGCTGCGAAGCGTGTGTAAGCGTGGTTAGCGTCGACGAAGCCGTTCGAAAGTCCACGAGTGAGCAGGCATCTATCAGATTGAGATGGACGCCACGAGAGAAGGAGCATTTACCATTCTGACGGAAGACTCCACAAACAGTTCCCGCTCTCCCTACACGCTGCCGAATATCTGGAACAGAGATAATAGTTGTTTCTTTCTGCTCGCTCGCGCGAGCTTGCTGCAGCTGTTGAATAAGTGACATGGATTTCGGAACCTTTAGTGAGTGGGAGACTTTAGTGGTAAAATAAACACTAGTTGCATTTTTAAATCATTGAGCTGATTTGAACGGCATCACTGAAGCCAAGAAGGACACAGCATCGACCGGCTGACACAAGACAAAAACTAGAGCGACCGCACGACAGGGAAAGTATCAGGCATGCACTCGCAGGCGGACATGATCAATGTGCCCTTGGATCGTAAATCCACAGTGAAAGTTACGACGAGTGACCACAACGAATACCTGCGACGTTGTGTTTGAGCATGTCACAATTGGGACGGTAACGTAAGACTTAACTGTGGAAAGTATGTTGGTTAACTAAATGAAAAAAATTAAAAGCAATAGGTGTAGGCAATATCTAAGGGGGTTGGATCTATAACAAAAGGAAGACAGCTTGAAGGGCGTTCGAGTGGGAAAGGTTGTGGCTGCGACGGTGGTGATTCTGGTCGTAATGACCACAAAAGGAAGAAAGTTTGTAGGGCGTTCGAGTGGGAAAGGTTGTGGCTGCGACGGTGGTGCTTTTGCCCTTGTGGTATGTGGCAGTTGGAAAGTATTGAGGCTGGTCGTAATGACCACAAAAGGAAGAAAGTTTGTAGGGCGTTCGAGTGGGAAAGGTTGTGGCTGCGACGGTGGTGCTTTTGCCCTTGTGGGATGTGGCTGTTGGAAAGTATTGAAGCTGGTCGTAATGACCACAAAAGGAAGAAAGCTTGTAGGGCGTTCGAGTGGGAAAGGTTGTGGCTGCGACGGTGGTGCTTTTGCCCTTGTGGTATGAGGCAGTTGGAAAGTATTGAGGCTGGTCGTAATGACCACAAAAGGAAGAAAGCTTGTAGGGCGTTCGAGTGGGAAAGGTTGTGGCTGCGACGGTGGTGCTTTTGCCCTTGTGGGATGTGGCTGTTGGAAAGTATTGAAGCTGGTCGTAATGACCACAAAAGGAAGAAAGCTTGTAGGACGTTCGAGTGGGAAAGGTTGTGGCTGCGACGGTGGTGCTTTTGCCCTTGTGGTATGAGGCTGGTCGTCATGTCGCCCGTAGGTAGTAATTCGTTCCTGTATGATTATATCATTGTCAGAGTGCTGGTCGTCATGTCGCCCGTAAATGACTCAAGCAACATGCATTGGATATTAATAACATATGCACGGTGATTAATATTGACAAGTGATTTAAACCTTTCTATAAATTATTTCATATTAAATAATACAGTTTATATGTTCTCGTAGTGATTTGTACCTCCGGTTGTATCGCCCCAACTACCCTGGATAAAATCCAGAGAACTCGAAACACCAGTAATGTATATTAAGATACTATTTTGAGAAGTGTACTGTGTTAATAAAATGTGATTTCAACAAACACAGTGTCAAAGCGACAGAGCAACATCACTTCCTCTCCCTGCTACTATTTTAAAAACGAATCACAGCTCATTAAATTAGAGTTTGCCAAGGCCAGACAAGTCAGTCCAAATAATATTATCGCTCCTGAGCTTTATACAACCATGCAGAACGACCAGATCAACGAATTCAAGAGTGCTGTCGAATATATCGATGCAAATGGTGCTTCGTATTCACGTGCTTCCACTTCATATAAGGTGTCAAGAAGCTGTCTTTATTGAAGAGCTTCGGGCGAGGTCGCACTAGACGCCAAACCGGGTCGCTCAACAACACTCTCTCAGGACATGGAGGAAGGCATCGTAAAAGTTGTCCTGTTTTGATCACGTGGTAAGATTTGCATGACGGACAACGAGATCCGTATCATGGCTTGTGAAGCTGCAAAAAGTAGCGGTATTATGGTGAGTGATACATTCCCAAATTCGAGGAGGCCACTTAAATTGGATCGGCAGCATGGCGATAAGCTAACTCGCAAACGGCCCAGATATTAGATATCAAGCGCTGCAATTTGTTTACTGAAGAGCGAATTAGGTCGTTTTACGAGGAGCTATGGAGATCAATGCAGGAACTGGGTTGCCCTGCCAGGAAACGGCGACGAAACAGGGTACTGTTCTCAAGGACGCAACGCGCCTCGGGTTATTTGTGCGAATGAAAGAGGAGGAACATTATGCGATCACAAAAATATGTCTGTGATGGCGTGTGTTAGCGCATCAGGTAGTCAGGTCCCACCAGTGCTTAATTTTGCAGAGAAACGTCGCCAGCCAGACTGGATGATAGGAGCTCTGGACGGCTCGGTGTGGGTCATGTTTACGTGTGTCAAAGAAGCCACCAGTAATGAGAATTGACACGACATAGATACCTACGCTGTAGAGAACAGCGGCCCTGAGCCGACGAGCAAGGCAGATGAATTTTAGAAATCTAAATGGGCTATAAGCAAAATTGCAGAAGTCGAGTGTGAGTACAGAGCATGAGGACTCGTCGAGTGTTGAACAGCAGGACGTGGAGAAGTCCGGTGACTCTCATGTTGCACACGAGAAAGGGCCGGAGCCGGTGAAGGCGACAAAGGGATGTAAGTGCAAGGTGTAAAAGAAAAGCGTGGAGGAAGACACTGAAATCGCAATCCAGAAGCCTCCAATCGAGCCATTTCTAAAGCGACTGAGAAGGCAAACGTGCAACTAAGCGATTACGTGGTGGGCCAAATCATGACGCACGGCTTGGGGTGTGAACATTCCTACAGCCTACAAGCTGGCACGGAAAAGTAAGTTTGGTCCCCAGTGGCAGGTGCTGATGCTGGTGGAAGAAGCGTCGTTGAAGAAGCACAAGATCTGGCGACTTTACCCGCAGCGAAAGGCGAAAGGTGTCAAGGCGATTACATTTTGATGGGTTTTGGCGGTGAAACGAGGTTAGTGTGGCCGCGTCAAGCGGGTCCAAGCCCGCCTTGTCATCCACGGAATCAAGCAGCAATTCGACATAAACTACAGCGAAACATATGGACCTGTGATTCGCTATGAGACTATTCGTGCCGCCATATACTTTGTTGTGCAGCGAGGATGGGAGATCCTCCAGTACGATGTGAAGACGGCGTTTCTGTACGGAGATCTCGACGAGATGATATACATGGGTTTCCAAGTGGATAGACCGAGTACTGTATGCGAGCTTTGAAGAGACGCCTCCAAATATTATAACTTCGCCCCCGGTGTGGTCTATTGAGTACTAGTACTGAACAAATCTCACGAGAGCGAAAAAATGCACAATGAAGGCGAGTCTTCGTGAATGATGGAGATGATTCTTGGAATTTTTTTAAGAAGCTACTTGTTCATAAAATGTTGCTACTGGATAAAGGCAAGCGCTTATATTTTAAACACTAGCACGGATTCATTAAACTCCGTTTTAGGTGAGCTGAGAGAGGCTACATCACCCCTCCTTTTACAACCTAATCCTGCCTGGTGGTTTGGGCATGTCTTAACTAGCTAAGCCCAGAACTGTGTTGGTGCTCTCTAGATCATGCATGGCGCCACTTTGATAAGGTTGTCACCAGTGCTGGTGGATTTCAAGATTTGCGCGACGTGACATCCCATCCCCTTCTAAATTTATGCTGCGCGTAGTGGTAATAAAAGGTTCCTGGTTTCGTGCCTTTGAGTTGATTGGTGCCCCAGCATATAACATTCTACAAGTTGTCGTTTCGTGCCTCTTTTCTTGGCCATATTGTTTTTTAAGATTCTCCTATCTTTTCTAGGCTTTAGAGTAGCTAATAATAGTAATCACGGTAAGAAAGTAAGTAAGTAGCATTATCCAATAAAATTAAACTTTCTTGCTTGATCCGTGAGGACCCCATTTTGTGTGGCGCGGCAGGCGTCTTCGTCTCAGACAAACTGTCTACCAGTGAGCCACACACTTATAGCGTGCTACATCATTGGAGTGGTTGGAGGATGTTATGATAGCCAACGAGCTAAAGAGCGACACTGACGGCTGCGACGAGGAAGCCATGGAAGCAAAAGCAAGCCCCTGCTCATCTCCAGCTGGAGTTGTTCCTGTATTCACGAGCGTAGAACTTGGACTTCACACTCGTCGTGTAGTCCTTGAAGTTTGTGCCAAGGAAACTTATAAGAGCATATTCCTCCGACTCAGACCAGTGTTTGTTTCCCATGTTGACAAAGGAGCTGTGCTTGTTGCTGTGTTGGTCAACGCCATTCAATGCACCATTGATTTTCTGCCAATAGAGCCATACCTATTACTTCTCGAAATAACCAATAAAGCGCTGCACTGGTCTTCCTTTCAAACTTTCCTCTTTTTAAAGGAAAGTTTTAGCAGGTTTGAAGGTTTGCTTTGATTGAGTGACAATTCTTTTATATTACTTACTTTCCAACCGTGATAACCACTAATGTATGACATTCGCTTCCTATCCTTCCAGGTATCTCACATGTCAGTACAACATTTACATTAATTTTATATTAATACTGTACTCTAAAAACAATTACCTTAAAATAGGGAGGATTACAAAAATAACACCTGGGAACCTGTCATTCCGAGGGTGGAATTAATATGAATTCGCTGCTGCAGGGTCTAAAGTTTGTGAAGCGTTCAGAGGGCGATGAGAAGACGCCGAAGCGCGAGAAGAAGGATAAAAGCAAGAAGAAAAAGAAAGAGAGCAAATATAGCAAGAAGAAGCACAAGAGCAAACACAGAGACGCGAGCAGTAGCGAAAAAGACGACGACGAAGAGCGAAAGCAGACTACTGCAGTATTGCGGGACGAATGGATGTCCATGTCCTTCATGAGGACCGAAGCCGACCCAGTCGAGCCAATTAAAACAACCAACGAGCTTCAGGCTGAAGCCAAGCAGAAAAAGATCCAGGAGGAGATCGACGCCGGCATGAGGGAGCCGGTAACAGGAATGGTCTATGGTCTGTATGACCCCAAGAATCCTGACGCTGCGCCTACCGTATCTAGTAAACTAGTCCAAGGAGAAGAAGAGAAAGATACAGAGATGAAGACAGAAAAAGACGAAGAGATGCCGATGTTTGGAGACGGAGGGGCGAGCTGGCGAGCCAAGATGTTGAAACGAGCGGAGGATAAGGCACGAGCCTCTGGCGTCGCATTGGAGGAGGTTGTAGGCGAGAGATTTGGGTCAGTTAATGCACTGAAGGAGCGTGCGAGAGGCTCAGCTAGAGAGAATGCCCATTTACAGTACAGAAGACATGGGATTGACGACGAGGAGAGGGAGACTGGGCGGAAGCGACGGACGTTGGAGATCGGACGTGATGCCAAGGATAAAACGTTGCTGTCGAAGTATTCGAAGAGAGTGCAGCGGTCGGTGACGCAACATGTGGAGGCAGACAGCAGACGAGAAGGAGACCGAGGGCATCCGCACCGTCGAGACAACCAAGAGGAGGACGAAGAACCGATCGACTACGACAAATTACCTGATTTTGAAGAACGTGGCTCTAGATTGAATCGTGAAGATAGATGCCGTGGTAGTCGAACGCGCAGTTACGACGACAGAAGCTCTAGAAGACAGAAGCATGGGCGCAGTCGTAGTCGCAGCAGAGAGCGATCAGACCGCTCGAAACGCTCGCGAAGATCAGATCGACAGTCTCGCTCTCGATCCCGACACCGTTCTCGCTCGCCAACGGGTCGCGATAAGCCTCGCCGTGATCAGCAGGACAGCAGCAACTCATCGAAGCCCGAAAAACGCTCGCCACCTGCTGCAACCACGCACACGGCTCCACCTCCTCGTGTAGTCGATGAAGCTAAAGTCGCGGCGGACAAGCTTGAAGCGGAGAAACGCAATGCATTCCTCTACGGCAGCCAGAAGCCTACCGCTCCCATGGTAGCAGATACGATGCCTTTGAATGGTCCAGAACAGACTACGTCGCCTGTCACGACAGCGATGATCTCGCCTACAGAGTCTTCTCTGTTGGTACAAAGCGGGGCTGGTAAATTGGATGATAAAGCCGAGCTCAACAAGCTGGCAGCTAAGGCCTTGCGGGCTCAGATGATGGGCAAGACGACGCTATTCCGCAAGTTGACGGAGCAGCTCAACGAGTTGGAAGCCAAACTGGAGCGTGAGAAGACTGCTGCTGCCGTGCCACACTACGACGCGATCACTGGTGCCTTGCCACCATTAGAGCAAGAAGACATGCGCTACGGGTCCCGGAAGGGCAAAAAGAAAAATGCAGACCTTACGGATATCAGTGGCCCAGAACTGGCAGCGTCACTAGAAGAACTTGTGCGTGAAGAACGGATGACAAGTACAAAGATTGGCCAAGGTAATATGGACTCTATCCACGCACGGAATATACTTCGACTGGGGTCGCGCTACAAGGGGACAGAAGTGAACGCCCAGAACCTCTCGAGCGGCTTTGACGAAGAAGATCAAGTGGACACGAAGATGCTGCAAGAGCCTGGTTCGAACCTCACACGAAGGGCTCAATCCCAGCGCGGACACGCCATCGCCATCAATGACAGTAAGCGATGGGATGAGCGAACGCAGAAGTGTCAGTTGTGTATGAAGAGCGCCGCCTTCAAGAAGCACTTGATGCTGTCTCTAGGCGAATTTACCTATCTAGCCATGCCCAACCGCCCTCGCTTGCATCCTGGACACTGCGTGATTGTTCCAATCGAACATTCGTGCTCTGCTGTTCAAGCGGATGAACAAGTAGGCGAAGAGATCTCACGTTTCCAGAGTGCACTTACGGCTATGTGCGACAAGCAGTACGGTATGAGTATGGTCTTTATTGAGCAGACGAGTGCTCCTCATCGCAAGCGACATACTTTGATCGAGTGTATCCCTGTGGACTCCGAGTTGGCGCTGGACACGCCGTTGTACTTTAAACAAGAGCTGATGCAGGCAGATGGGGAGTGGAGCACACACAAGCCGATTATTGACACTAGCAGAGCGGGGATTAAGAGTCACATTCCACCCACGTTCCCGTACTTTCACATCCAGTGGCGTACGCCAGAAGGACGAGGAGGATATGCCCATGTGATCGAGGATGAAGGCACATTCCCGCGTGATTTCGGCGTGAATGTTGTGGCTGGCATGCTTGACGTGACGCCTCCCAAGTATGGACGACGTGAAGGTAATCGTCGCTCGGTTGAGGATGAAAAGCGCGATGTGCTGGCGTTTCTGGAGAACTGGGAGGCGTTCGACTGGACCCAAGCGCTTGATGGCGGAGAAATCACACCGCAGACCTGAGAACAGGACGAGACAAATCCTCTTTATTGTGGTCGGACATGCAATATGCCGGGCCATTCTGTGACTAGCACATTTTACTCAGAATTTACAATGACAGGCCAAGTCTGGGTTCAAATGTCGGCTGTGGGGATGGTCGCTTGGTAATTGATAGGCGACGCTGTGTGCGAGATATTTGTCATGACTGTGTGGTCGGGGTAGTTGGTGTCAGGAATGTACTCGTACGCTGCCCACAAAGATCAGGAAAAGGCAACATCAGCAGCTAAATGCAGCAATAGAAAAAAGAAAGACAAGTACCTGCGTAAGTGTCGATGACGTCTTCCTTGGACTTCACTACTACGGTGGTAACGACACACTGCACTGTGAATATCACGGCGTGAAGTCCAGACGCCATAAATGCTGCGGTCCTCCGTCGTGGATTGTTGTGTGCCTCGAGTCCCTACCAGCAGCACTTCCATGTCAGAATGCAGTGTGCTTTTACTTAACTTCAAAAGAACGCTCAGGTACCCAATAGAGAGACCCCTGGAACGATAGCACTAGCACGAGCGACGATGCTCCAACTAGAAATCCAATCTACACAGCAACAATTAATGGTCATCAGCCAACGTACTCTATCTTTTTCAATACAAAATAGCAGCTTTGTGTTCCAAAAACTCACAGAAAACGCTGAAGGCGTCTTGCTCAGGATGACGATGGCCACGAACGTGAAGACCACATAGACACCAGCAGTGACTGCAGCATCGAATCCTACATACGGAGTCTCCATCAGGAACATGGTGGCCAGTAACAGTGCGCAGGACAGGATCTACCGCAATTAGGGACGTCAGTGTGGTCTCTCCCGCCTAGACTTTGAAGCATTCCCAGCAAAGCACCGGTGCCACCGGCGGTGGGGGTGCAAACTCGTGCAATAGAAAGTCACGTGTTTGTACGTGCCGATTAGAAAGGGTGGAAACGCACCATATTGCCAGAAAGCGCCGCATTAAGCAGCTTGCGGCGAGTCTCGAGCATCGCTGTGCTGAAAATGTAATGTTGGGTTTGCGATAATATAGTAGTACTATGTAGTATTTATGAGAATCAGAAACGCACTATACTACTTTCGACAACGAACCAGAATGAAAGGGGTTGCTGCAAACTTTATAATACTCAAGGCAAGGACCAGCCAGTGAGATGGTTTTCTCGTTTTGCTGAGGAATACATGTGATGATCTGTAACTCAGTGTAACAGGGTACGTAACCCTAAGTGTACCCCTAGTTACATGAAGTGTGACACGTCACACCTCAGAAGTATGACACGTCATACTTCGGGATATGTGGTACAAGGTACCAAGGTCGCCCAAAGCCAGCCATTGGCTGATAACGTTGCTTTTTTATAGGTGACTTATAGTTTGTATTTAGCCCAAGCTTTATCTACCTATAATAAACTCAGCTTACATTCTACCTTAAATAGGTCACTTCGCTCCCTTTCGACAAAAGGGGACCTGTGAACTGCCGTTCACTGAGAGTGTGTATACTCTCGGAAGATAACTTCCTCTAGCGCAAGGTGCTGTGTGACCCCGTCACACTTGGTAGCACTTGTAGTCAATCCACGCCACCGCGGGTAGACTACCTGGACCTCTCCGAAGTTCGTTGCCATGGATAGGAGCGACTTCTCCCATATGAACGACTCTCAGTTCGAGTCGGTTCGGAAGATGGCAAGCATCTTCGGAATGGAGGTCCTGCAGAGCCTGGTGGTGTCAACACCGTACGAGCAGGGGCTCATCGCGCATGTGCGGGATAGCCTGCAGGCTCCGGCGGCGGAAGCCAATCCGCCTCACCCGAAGCCAATACGGCTGAAGTTTAAGCCGTATGAAGGGAAGGAAGGCGAGAACCTCACTTTTGGGTCCAAAAAGTAGAGCTCGCGATGGACGCGGCTCTGATCTCGACCGAGCAGCTTCGTGTTGCTTTTGTACTCTCCAACCTTAGCGGCCGTGCTAAGAGTTGGGTGTACACACGGGAAGCAACATCCCCTGGATGTTTCACATCCTGGGCTCAGCTGTGCGAACAGCTCCGAGCCGCGTTCCTCCCGGCGAACTACGAGTACCGCCAGCGTTCGCGCTTCCTCTCGTGCACACAAGGGAGACGTGAGCTGCACGAGTACGTGCACGCGATGCGGGAGCTTATGGCATCCCTAGTGGGAAACCCACTCAACGAACACATCAAGATGACTGTGTTCATGGACGGCCTTCGAGTGGGCCCCGCACGCACTCAGCTGTTCCGGGTGCAGTCAAGCACCTTTGAAGAGGCGATTCAAGCGGCTCTTCAGGAAGAGTACAGCCAACGTCAGGCGCGTACGCCGGTCTCAGCGTGGCCCGGGGGGTCCCTTGTCAACTCCCGGTCGAACGAGCCCCAACGGACCAGTTCCCATGGAACTCGGGTCCGCCGAACTGTGTGACATCCGCTGCTTCGCCTGCGGGAAGATGGTCCCCTACAAGCGCGACTATCCCGCGGAAAGACTCCGCAGACGGTCTTTCCTCAAGCCCGTCCTCAAGGGTCACTGGCAGAAGCCAGGATCCCGAGGACAGGGGAACGCTGGGAACCAGTAGGGGTGGGGCGCCCTACTGGGGAAGAGCTAGGTCTTCGTGATGGGTGCGCGGGTGGTGCGTACCACGGGGACTTAGCCCCTGAGAGTCTTCGCACTCTCGCGTCGGCGAAGAGCAGCGGCGGGCTGCTCGTAGTACACAAATTTGTACGGGGATACGATCACCCCTTTAGAATCTTGATCGATTCTGGGGCGTCGAAGAATTTCGCACGCCTCCAGACGGTTGCTCGTAATAGCAACAAGTTGTTCGATGCTTTGAGAGAAAGCAAGGGCAACGGGACGATGTCAGTGCGACTGGCCGACGGGAAGGTCGTCACTGTCCCCAACGTCTAAGTGGATCTGGCTGTCAAGTTTGAAGACTTTGACAGCCTCGAACAGTTCGCTGTTCTCGATATGGATCCCTATGATATGATCCTGGGCATGCCCTGGCTTGAGAAGCACGAGCCCTGGGTCGACTGGCGAGGCAAGACAATCGGTGCCAGCTGCCCTGCGCAGTCCGACAGAGCATTGGTGAGTCATGTTACCACCTCTGTCAGGACCCAGGGCTCCCGCAAGGGCTGCCAGGGTACCAAAGCACCCGGCAGATGCTTGGGAGTCGTCGACGTATATGACGACTCCAAGGATGTTTTGATGGTGGCAGCGCCCAGAAGAGGCGCTGGCCAAGTAGGTAACTTAGGTCCACAGGCGGAGTGTCACACTACTCGAGGTACGCTGCGTGTATTGTGCCTACTTAAAACCCACTACTTCGGCTTACACGTTAGCGCACGTGTATGAAGAAGCGTAACTTGCGTTTCACTTAGATGAGCTATACTTTCGTCCGAAAGTATATATTTACTTCAATAGGAAAGCAAAGCCGATTTCTGATAAAATGAGAACTGTTTATGTGTTTGTTTGGCTTTTCCTTCTAATCTAATATAGTGGTTAAATGCTTTCTCAGAAATAAGCGACTGTATCTGACAAGGAGTCACTATCCCAGATTAGTGACAACACCCGGTGGTTAGGGAGGATCTGGATTGCCCGGCATAGATCCACGCTGCTCGAAGTGAATTGGGCCAAGGTAAAGCGGCATCCTATATGGATCGACGATGGATCTGGTATGGATAACATACGGGGAGGCAGGATCCACCCTCGCCCAATTACACCTAGGGGATATCGGATATACCATGCGGGTGGATCGAGATGGGATCCTATCGAGGGAAGACGGTAGATGTCATTTGAAGGTGGATCTGATATCAGCTACAAACGAGAAGGCAAAATCCATCGCTATATATATCAGATCCTACTCTTCCAAGTCCAGATCCAAGGGGTTGATGATCCCACATCGAGTGACCCGGATCCAGTATATGGAGATGGTGGATGCAACGGATCTCGAGTTTTCGTAGAGCCATGGAAATCACAAACAGTCGTAAGACAATGTTGGAAGATTGGAGCGCTCAGATCCATGATGAGCGTACACTTGCATTGAGGCGGATCAAGGTGACCTGGATCCAGAATAGTGTACCCATAAAATTGCGACCACAATGATTACGCCATGGATCTGGTGGATCTGATGCTAATACAGGTGGGATGATGGACCAAGGAGAAAAAATGGACATGCAGCTGAGCCCGGTAGGGGATTTAGCAGGTAAAAAACAGGAATCCAGGCAGGTATAGGCTTAACTATGAATCAGACTTCAATTTGCACAGTATCACGCAAGTGCCCTCATAAATCGGAACTACATTGGCCGTACAAGCTCGGTGAAGGTTGAGAATTGCGAATCTAGTGTTGGTAGTGATAGCTGGATAGTACATTGGCCAGATCCTACAACCTAGTGAGCTTTCCTTTACACGTGCAGATCTAACCGAACTTACTACTTGGCTCTCAACTCTCCAGATCCCGTCACAGGAGGCGGCAAGTACGACGCAAAGGAAAACAAAGGCAAAGGAACACACCCGCAAGGCAGCCCTACGGCAAGATCCCATATCTAGGACCTGGATCCACCAAGCTCGAATATTCGCTTGGGATCCAGAAACAACTACGAACGCAGAGTGGAGATCTTACCACTACTGCTCCACCCCATCCCCACGTCTCGCCAAGTTACTCAAGCTTCACCACTTGAACGCTTCGGAAGTTACCGAGAGAGCAAGATCCCGCCCTACCGACGGGTACACAAGGTGAGTCAAACGTTCAACAGATCACGGATCATCGGGCGACCCCCTCCGTTAGTCGGTGTCTGGGCGCATTTGGTAAGTTGGATCCGGCAATCTCGCAGATTTTGCTCATCCTGCTACACCACAAGATTCTAAATGAAAGGTATTATTAATAAATGGCTGACAGAATTCCTATTATTCTAACTGGTTAGCGATATTGACTTTCAACCAATGAATGACACTCCGTCGCCGCGAAGAAAGTATCGCCTTCCTTTGTATTTTTGTGCGCGAAGGGTACGACCCTTTGAGAATGCTGCGCACTTTACAAACACGATACGTAGTGTACATCCAGCGAACTGGGACCCTAATTTGTGATCGTTTTAGCGCGGGGCGGTGGGGGGGGGATAAGAGCACCGAAGCACGGTAGAGCACTGAGCTAGACTGTGTACACGATAGAATGGATGCTAAAGCACGGATGTACACGAAATCACGGAAGGTCACGGTCCGCGAAAGAGAAGATGGAGAAATACAGGCCATGAGATATTCTACTAACACAAACCACGGATCAGCATGCAGCCGTGAAAACACGGAACAACACGAAATGACGGAAGCGGATGAAAGCTAAAATAGTGACACCTCAACATGCTGAAACGCATATGCCACAGAAGAGCAGGCACGCTCGAAGCCACGGTATCACACGTAAATGTGAGCGTGCACGGAAAGGAATTCTCCCATAACACCTCGGTAGAGCACGGAGCACAGTGGGCGGACCAAACACGAGGCCACGAGGGACCATAAACGGGAAATCACCGATCATTGGAACAACGATACTAAGGTCGATCCAGAGCTCGCCAGGCCACGGAGCACGACACTACGGTAGAAAACGATGTCACATATGACAAACTAGCCACTAGACGACGGAGATCTCCTGCGGAAAGCATTAGGCTACACCGCCGAACAAGATACCACGCTAGAACATGATATCACAGGCGGCAGATATAAGCTGTGAGACCACGATAGCACAGACTACAGAACCGCACCACCACATCCCGATAGCACGGTACACGGAGCCACGCCATGAGAACACGATACATGGGCGACAAACCGACACAGCTGCGTGGGGGCACCAAAACCACGGAGGAGAACATATCGGCGGGGGCTCCGGCGCTAGGACGCCATGGGTCACATGGACCACAAAACATGCGGAACCCGTGTAAACTTGTGGCAAGACGCATCTAGCTCGAAGCTACAAAGGAGAGCGTTACGAAGTAAGAGCAGGAAACTAAAATATAGAATACATATCCAC